CCGGTCAACAATTACTCTGTTCGACAAGCGGTCAACGCTTACCTCGGCTCGAACGACGACACGGATTTCGACCGGTACGAGTTACTCAGCGTGATCAGCACAGGTTCTTACGGCAGGGTTTACGAACCCCCTCGAATAGAAAACTCCAGAAGTCGTGGCGATGAAGCACGAGTTTCTAGGGCTCAGTAACTCAACGTTGAGGGAGATCGACATCCTCAAATCGCTCCCTCCGCACCCCTCCATAGTCGAGTTCAAAGGCGTCTTTGTTGATCGAAACAACTGTGTCTTCGTCGTGATGGAGTACGTGCAGAAAGATCTCAAAGCATACATCGCGGATAATTACAGGATCACGTGCGTATGGCAAGTTCAATTCTTGATGAAGCGGATATTGGAGGGGGTTCGGTTTCTGCATGAGAATGGGCTGATGCATCGGGATTTGAAGCCGTCGAATATTCTAATTAAAGAACGGTTGCAAGTGAAGATCTGCGATTTCGGTTTGTCGCGAAGAAGAAGTAGAGAAGGAATTTACACTAGTGAAGGTGTGGGAAGTCGATGGTACAAAGCACCGGAATTGCTTATCGGTTCGGGTAATTATTCGTCTGCGGTCGATATGTGGTCGGTGGGATGTATTATGGCGGAACTTATTATCAAGGACGCTCTTTTCAAAGGGGCTACCGAAATCGATCAGCTCTGGAAAATTAACGAGTTTCTTCATACACCGGGCCGGCCGGCCAGTTACGAACTGGGGATAAGGTTTGATGTTGCGTATATTTTTACGGGAGCTCCGAAAATTACGGAATGTGGAATTGATCTGGTTTTGAAGATGTTGGCGTACGATCCAAAGGACAGAATTACTGCAAAAGATGCTCTTAATCACCCTTGGTTCAAGCAGTAATCCATCGACAGGCGCAGTCGTCGATCGTTATTATTAGGGTTTCTTAATTACTATTTGAATAGTGTTGTATTATAAGAATTTTTGGACTATTTTGATTTCTTCATTCAAAAAACTTCTGTTGCATATTTTTATTTTATTTTCTTTATGCTATTTTCTATTTGAAGTTTTAAAAGTGATCAGTTGATCTATGTTTTCAATAAATAATTAGGTTTTACCATGTTAAATATTTTTCAATATTACATAGAAACTTTTATGTTATTTGTTCGACTGAAAACGGTGATACGGCAAGACAAAACAGACATGGGAAACGGTACATATCCCAAAAATAGAGATACAGTTATATTTATAAATATTATATATAAGTTTTTATATACATACAAATTCTTTTTATATAGTTTCAAACAAACATATTGCAAAAAAAGTTTCACTATCAACTTTTGAGATGTTAGTAACTATTTCCCGAGAACCAATTGAAAAGGGGCAATCGGGTCTTTTACGGAGCGAGAAGCTGTGCGAAAATCAGACGACGAAAAAAACGTACCTATGCGTTAATTCCAGCTTCTTGCTCGTGTTACCGGACAGTGACTGTAATGGTTTTCCCGAGCACAAAGAAAACCAGCGATAGCTCTATGAAGAATATCGTATTAATCAGCATCCGGTCGACTATCCATCCGAATATTGTGAATCCACCAGTATTCGACTGCACATACGTAACTGCAAAACAAAATAAAATAAAAGTGAGAAACATTTAATATATACGCAGATTAAAAAAAAACTTACGATATAAATATTCGTACCAAAGGCCTGCCTCCTCTCGTACGAGGAAGTAGAAGAAATCGGTTGTCCGTTTGTGGGCAAGGGAATGTAATCAGCAGATTCCAAATCGGGTTCGGAATAATTTACAGACAAGGTTTCTTCATTACCACCGTCTTTTAGAATTTCGGACGCTGAAACGTTACTTGAATTGCAAGTAACCAATGCATGCCATCTGCTAGCAATTGAACCGAGACTCTGTGCTCTATGCGATATCTTTGCTGCCGCATTTAGGCACAGAACTATTCCAACTAACTGAACAATCGAGAGCACCTGCATTAATACGGTAGTAAATTAACCGGTCAACCAACTAATCATAACTTCTTGCTTAATTCAATACGATATTTGATGGGGGGTTAATTGCAATTAGTACCCCAGTGAAGTATCGAATTATTACAAAACTACCCCATGTTATTTTATCGGGAACCCCCTAAATAAGGGCACTATTTACTAAAAAAAATCATAAGGGGTTTTTTTGCCAATAAAATGATATGAGGTAATTTTGTAACCATTCGATATACCACAAGTGTACTAATTGCAATAAACTCTAATATTAGGAGATCGACTTACTGCAAAATCACCTCCGTTGATCAAATTGATGACACCTTGATTCTCTGTTGTCTGTAATAATGTAACAAACTGACTAGCTGTAATAACCAAGAACTCGAGGAGAAGAAAGATCCGGAACCTGTGGCTTATTTTCGATAAAGCGTAGGCTAGAGCCATGTGCTCCTCAATGTAAACCGAAACATCGGAATCTATTTCAAGAACTTTCCCGTAGTTTTCGAAGTGTATTATTTGCAGATTTCCGACCAAATGGAATAAAGCACATCCAGACAGAAACACGAGCGTTGTATACGACCATGAAAAGAGACAAATAAATAACAAGACAACCGATAACCACCACGAACCGTCGTGATGTAGGTAAATCAAACGAGCAGCCTCGCGTGCCGCTTTCAATAGAAAGCAAATTCCGAACCATGAAGCTAACAAGCAGTAAAATGTCTGGATAAAAAAACATTTGGATATGTGAATTAATAATCCAACATTTTCCAATACAAATTCAGACAGCAAATTGTTTGTGTTCCCCTAACAAGGACTTGCTCGATATAGTTAAACTTCTATAAATTAATACAGTCGAGACTAGGGAAATTCTATTAATTTAGCAAATTATTAAATTATCGAGTTACTCCCTCTGATCCACAATAACTGTCTCTTTTTTAAATTATTTTTGTTCCATATTATCTGTCACTTTACATTTCCAACACTGCATTAATTGTGTAATTATCAATTTTACCCTTATTAACTATCTTCAACACTCTCTCACATTAATTATTGGCAAGGGCATTTTAGTATAAGCACATGTATTTTTCTAAAATTAAGCAAAATTTATTGAGATCCTTAATCCTTGTGCACAAGCTAAAAAAGACACTTATAAAGGAACGGAGGGAGTAGTAATTTAACACGTTTTCACCGAGTCGGGACCCGAGATTAATTATTATTTAATCGAGATTATTAATTTATAGAGTATTAATTTATTCGAGGTTCTTCTGTATATTTAATTCATCATCTGACCACTAATTAAAAACTGATTGGGCACAAAAAATAAGTAAATAAATTTTATGCATATATTCAAATTCTTACACGAAATTTCCGAATGTACTGTGTGCAGAACTGCGTGGTGTGGCCGTGGCGGCGATCGACGAAGAGCGCCTGCCGGACGCCGTAGCGGCGGAGATTCCGGGACACGCAGAGGAGAGAGACGGCGGCGACCACCGCCCGGGAAACGAGGATTTCGAGCTCGAAGGTGTCGATTTCGAACCGCTCGCAGCCGGCGGCGCACCTCGAGAACTCGTGCACGGAGAGAGGCACGGCGACGGCGAGTACGAGGAAGGCGAGCCAGGAGAGCGTTCCCCGGAGGAAAGTGTAGTGGCAGAACCCTAGGATGCCGAGGAAGTTTTCCAGAGTGGTTAAGGATCGGTCGAGCTCCGAATCGGAGTCTCCGACGAGCGGGAGCTCAGGCGACGCCATGAAAGTACAAGCTGCGTGATTCGCGAGGTACAAGCTGGTGATGCAGGAGTGAATAAGGAAGCGTTGCCCGATATTGATTGACAAGTCAGAACGAGTATAAAAGCGTCAATGATATGAGGCCCATTGGTGCCACGTGTGAGTTTAATTTGATGGCACGTGTAAGTAAAAGGATTAATTTATGTCGCAAAAGTAACAAGTGTAAATTACATCCACCCCTGAGGATTTGTCAAATTAGGAAAATTCCCCTCATATTTGGGTAATTACAACCACCCCTCAACTATAAATATTCTTACACGCTCACACTTGCGGTTTCAAATTTAGTGGAATTTTCGAGATTATATGGAATATTATCACTTTTGTACCCGTTTTATCTCATTCAAACTTTGAAGCAAGATGATCATAATATGTGTTTTTTGGCTTGTATATAACATATTGTGGTGCATCAGATACTTTTTTTTCACACAAAACGAGTACAAACTAGAGCGCATTCCACGAAAATTAGATGACTGTTGAATTTGACACCATAAGAGTGGATATGTAAGAAAAAATCATAGTTGAGGGGTAGATGTAATTATCAAAACAAGAAGGGTTTTTTCGTAAATTGACCATATCTCAGGGGTGGTTGTAATTTACCCATTTTTTTATTCCAATATATCCAAAATAAATATTATTATCAACTATCGATTTGCAATTGATCGTTAAAGCGTATAATTAATTAGGAAAACAACAAAAAAAAAAATATTTAAAAATTTGTTATTCAACATGTTTCTAACTCTTCAGAAATTGCAACATGACCCTAAAATGTCTAAAAGGTGTTCTCCTTTCATGTTCGAAACGCAAAAACATTAAAAAAAATTGAAGTTTTTGTGCTAAACAGCAAAGAATGTGTGATAATTTGCTAAACTTAATGAATTGGACTCCTTGATCATTTTGACTTAACATCATAGAATTTTCCCCTTTTTGTACTTCAATCAATAGTATAATAAGTGATTATTAAAAAAAAAAAAACAATTAAGAAAAACATTAGTATCTTATACGTAATATAGGACAATAATCGACCGTCTTGACACTAACTCTACACTGCAAAGTACGAACAACCTATCCAAAACAATATCGATATATAAAATAATAGGAAAATTAGCTGAAAGTCCTTAAAAACTTCGCCTTAAGAACAAGTGAATTTGTCTTTTTGCTAAAGGTCCTTGTGACCTATCTCGCCCTGGATCTGACTGACACTGGATGTGGAGTTTCTCTAACGAAATTGCTTACAGAAACTAAAAGTAATGGTGACGGTGATTTGTACTGTTTAATTATATTAATAAGCAACAACTTAGTTAAAATGAAACTAACAATTATGATGACGGTGATTTGCACAACTTAGTAATATTGATAAGCAACATCTTAGTTAAAATATACCGAAGAAAAATTAAAACAAGAATAGATACATCTCACAACACATACACAACTTACACATACAACTTATAAAACTCATTTACATAGATTAGTTACGTTATTAATGAGCAAATGTTTAGCAAAAACACATGTATTTCATATAACTTTACTATAAAGTTTGGATTAATTAGATAGCTTTTTTTTAGGGAGATTAATTAGATAGCTTAGCGAGCTTATTTGTATAGTTTAGTTACACATTTTAGTTAAAATAAACTGAAAAAAATTTACATAAATCTCTGGTGCATGCATCACCACCAATATTACCATTTGTCATCGCCAAACAATTATTCATATTTTTTCTTTTCTGTTTACATGCACGATTATTAGGTTACAACTATGAGGAGAAGTGCAACCAAATTCGTATGTGTGTGCGTTTGTGTGGTTGCGTATACGTCCATGTGTATGATTGTGGAAGAGTTTCGACGATGGTAGCGACTGGGAGTAGGAATGGAGCAAATTTAAAGTGCAATGGGATTGGACGAATCTGACGGAGTGCAGTTAGTTAGACGAGATGAAAGTAAAATTGAAGAACATAAGACTTTAACAAATTGCAAATATTCGGTTATCCAAATCTAAAAGAATGTTAGTGCCCAACAAAGTTTAACAAATTGCCCCAAAAATAATAAAAGAATAGCTCATGTTTCGGAAAGGATGACAACACTTTTGGTAATTGTGAAACATAACTTAACGTATTCCTTGGATTGGTTATAGAACTTAACGAAGCTAATCGAGATTGCAATGGATGTTATCACTAGTTTTTTTCATGAACTAATACGAGCGTAAACAAGCCGAGCTTGGCTGTTTTGCCGAGCTCGAGCTCGATCTCGAGCTCTTCGAGTATTATTTTTTTTTTAGCTCGAGCCTGAACCATCTTGTGCATATATTTTTTGGGGGGTGCTAAATCCCACACTAAAAGTTACTAAATCCCGCACATAAATAAAAAAAATTCTCTCTCTACAAAAAAATATTCTCTCTCTAGGCTCTATTTTCTCTAACTTCTCCCTAACTTTTTTCTATGATTTTCCACACTAAAATTTACTAAATCCCACACATTAATAAAAAAATATTTTATCTCTACAAAAATTTTTTTCTCTCTCTACGCTCTATTTTCTCGACTTCACTCTAACTTTTTTCTAGGATTTTCAAAATACTAAAAAGTCGTCAAAAGTAGTTTTTTGTTGCGTAATTACATCAACTAATGAGTTCAATACCTTTTAACTTCAATCGGATGTAAGATTTTAATTTTTTTGCCAAAAAATCGTCATAGGCAGAGGGCGGACAACCTAGAAGACGAAACAGATAGCGCGCACATGTTAGGCGTGCAATACACTGTATTCGCGTTCAATGTGGGCGCCGTCTTTCATGCGTCCGCTTCTACTTTAGATGCGATCCGTTTTTTTTATTTTTTATTTTATTTTTTTAAAATTAGTTTTTGTTATAATTTATTTATTTTTCGGGATAATGGGGAAGTTCATTATTCCGAATATTTTCGAGGGGTATAATTGTTTAATTGTAGAGACGATTTAATACAGTGGGCGAGAGACACGGCTGAAAGCCATGATATTAAGCTAAGTATAGGTCATACTTTTTGTGATATGGTATACGTTACATATGATCGGTTTGAGAAAAATCAGGTGAAACAAAAGAATAGAGATATAGAAAGTACAATATGTTCTGATACAAAAAATTGTAATTGTAAATCTAGTTGAAGGGAGTTCTACAAGCAGATGATAAAATGGAAACTCTTTATAATTTACGGGAAGCATAATCATCCTCTGACTTCGAAATATAGTCTCATAAACAACTCTCGCAGAAGCATTATGAAGTTACCGAAATGCTTAAATATTTATTAAAATTTATTCAATATTTATTAATTATTAAATATTTATTGAACATGTATTCAATATTTATTAAATTTTTAATTATTTAATTCGAAAATATTTTTAACATTTATTCACTATTTATAAAGTATTAAAATTTGCTAAAATTTTATTAACATTAAATATTTGTTACAATATTTAAGAAATAATTAAATTGAATTGAATTAAAAAAAAAAAAAAAAAACAAACAAATCTATTGCTTCTAACCCAGCCACCCCACCCCCCACCCCAAAGAAAATCCCACACACGCTGCTGGCCTGCCATGGACGTCAATCTCATGGCAGGCACAACTCTCTCTCTCTATCACCCTATACCACCTTCCATAACAAATAAAGTAATTGAATTCAATTAAAAAAAAAAAAAAAAAAACTTATGGTGCTGCAATCTCAGGCGAGGCGTGCCTCCACCCTAAAAAAAAAACCCTCTTAATTCGAAGAATAAATTTGAGATAAAATGATAACCTTGATTGTAGAATAAATTAGAGAAGATTTTCTTTAAGTTCGATTCTCGGATTATTGTACTAGTTTTATGATTTTTTTTACAAGCGTGAGGGGAAAAGAAGAACTTGTTTGGGGAGAGAAAAAGATAGACACGTTTGGGATTTTAGAGAGAAAGAAATTTTATTATGTGCATGATTTAGTAATTTCCGTGTGGGATTTAGCATTTCAGATATTTTTTTTATTAATATTATTAGAAATTTATTATTATAAATTATAATAAAAAAATTCTAACTAAAAAACCTATAATTTATTTATTTATATGAATTTATTAATTATTTTATATTAACGATATTTAAAATAAAATAAAAATTGAAAAAAAAAAAAAAAAAAAAAGCTCGCTAACCGGCTTGCGCGCGAACAACTAAAAATGAGCTCGGGCTCGACAACATCATGAACCTCGAGGTCAAGCTCGAAAAAATTGAGTTTGAGCTTTTGTCGAGCCGGCTTGGCTCATTTACACCCCTATGAACTAATATAATAAATTTATTACATCTAATGCACCTATCTAAATCAGTAAATCTCTTTTGCTCTTTCTTCAATTAAATAGTGTTTCAGATGTTTAATCCCACTTTGCATCCTTGAAATAGAGTCTTTTGGCACTTTGCAGTTTGCACTCTTGAAAAACGATAATAGCACTTTGCACTCCAAAATACTTTAAATCATTCACAAAGTCACCATAAATTGAATAATAAAGCCAATTTCATTTTTTTTCTATGGTAAAAAATAATAAATTAAATTGTTATTTTCTTCAACTTCTAAACTAAATTCGAGCACAGAAGTGCCAAAAAATAAAAATCACACTGTATTATCATAAAACTATATTTTCTTACAAAATAAAATAAAATAAACTTTATTGCTAAATTATTCGATTGATGTATTTTTTACTGTAATTGGTGGAGATATCAGGTAGAAAATACTTGGAAGAAAATATGATTTTTAGACAACATCAAATCGAAATAGATGAAGGGTTTTCTTTTCAAAAAATTTTTTTGGTGATAAAAAATTTAAGATGTATTTTATTTCTGCCGAGTCGAGCCCGAGCTCATTAAAACTCAAAAATTTATTCTCAACACATAAAATAAAATTCGACGGTGAATAAATCGCTAGAACAATAAATATCTATAAAATTAAATCTTTTTACAATTTCCTTTTCGTCAATTTCACATTAAAGTAAAATGTTTCGAACATAATGTTTTCAAATGAAAACGAATTTTAGTGATTCAAGTAGGGGAAGTGCCAAGATTCGAACCCTATACACCTCTATTCGAATAGTAGAGACTAGATATCAACTCTCCTAACTAGGTTTGGTATATATATACTAATAATAATGTTTCTTGCATTTTAAATAAAATGACAAATACAACCCTAGATGCTACTAAGCATATATAACACATGAACATAATATATCCAAATGCAACCAAATTACATATAATCACATCATTTCTATCAAACGAGCCCTTGTAAAAATAGAAAAGCTTTAGGTGTGAGTAACAAATATGAAGAATTATATATATATATATATATATATATATATATATATATATATTTGGATTCACAGTTTAGATGAAGTAGTTGTCGAAAGAGCAATATTAACCAACTCACGGCGCAAGATCTTCCCTGCTGGCGATTTCGGAATCGACTCAACAAATGCAAGACGCCGGATCTTCTTATATGGAGCAACCTGCAAAAAACACGACGAATAAAAAAAAGGGTAAAATCTATGCAGAACAAACTATAAAAGGCTGCAGCAACTTAATAAATAGAAATTAAATGAGAATATTATCAAGAAACAGGTGTGTATACATATATATATATATATATATATATATATATATATATACACACCTGTTTTGCGATGAAATCCATAATTTGAGTTGCAGAAATGGTGCTACCAGGTTTTCTCACTATATAGGCCATGGGAATCTGACCTGCTTCTTCATCGGGATATCTGCTCTCGTCAAAAGCATCATCGGGAAAACAATTCGTTCTTCAGTTTTCCGACATTTCATTCCATAATTAATTTAAATTACAAGAATGCTTACGGAATCACTGCCGCATCTGCAATTTCAGGCATCGACTGAAGTAAATGTTCCAGCTCAGCCGGAGGAACCTGCAATGCCGTCTCATTTTCTCGTTAGACGTTAATTATTTTCTCGATTATTGATGCAAAATTCATAAAAGGAAGATTCCCAGAAGAAAGAAAAAAAGACGACTGACCTGATATCCCTTGTATTTAATCAATTCTTTCAACCGATCGACAATAAATAGAAACCCATTCGAGTCGAAATAACAGAGATCTCCCGTTTTTAGCCACCCTTCCGAATCCAAAGTTGCAGCTGTTGCAGCACTGTCTCCAGCATAACCTGATACGGTGGGCCCACCATTTATCTTACTATGATTATAACTGTTTTCGATCAAACATGAATATTATATTCGCTACGATTTCCACATTTTCGCTCTTCATATATATATATATATATATATATATATATATATATATATATTCTTCTTTTGACGTAAATTGTTCAATACCGGCATGGAAATTCCGCACATAGATGACTAGGATTGGAAGTGGAAATTGGAACAAAAAATTTCGAATCCCGCTGATTCCGATCCGAATATTTCTGAATTTGGAAAAATATTTTTCATTCCGAATTCCGAAAGTTCGGATTTTCAATTTTATTTTGGAATGGAATTGGAATACACATTCGATTCCAATTTTTGCTCCGGTTTTAATTTCCAAAAATAGACACAATTACGAAAATTGCACTTGAAGTATCATTATTGTCATGTATTTTATATTATAGGTGACATAAAAATTAGAAATTCGGAATTCTGCCGATTTCCGTTCCAAAAATTTCCGGTTTTGGAATAATATTTTTCATTCCAATTTCTGAAATCCTGATTTTATTGTTTTTCACTTGTGAAATTTTTTGGAAATTTTCGAAACTGCTAACACGGATCAGATCCATCCGATTTCCGCCTCATTAATCATGGCATGCAAACACTGACGAGCAAATAAAAAAATGATTAATACAACATACGAACCTTTCATAATTGCAGGGCCTCGTAGCCATAATTCTCCACGTTGTCCAGGTGGCAATGACTCTCCGCTCGCAGGATCGACTATCTTTGCTTCCATGTTTTCAGACAAAGGACCCGCAGATCCATGTACCTTCGCCTCTTCGGGGCCCACCATTCGCGCAACCCCTCCTGCACTCTCCGTCAAACCGTACCCCTAAACAAATCACGAATTAGTAATAAACATAAATTGCATTAGCTCAACTTAACTACGGGGAAAAAGAAATACGCACAACTTTTTTACGTCGTGAGAATTAAATTTTGAGATAATTAAGACAAGACAAGTACGTGGTCTCGATTATGTGAAATCAAACCAGATTCGACACTAGTTGGGAATATTTCAAGACTTGATTCTTTTTTACCAAGAAAATTCCATTACTCAAAAAAGAATATAATTTAAATTCCCGTTGCACAATGAATATCGACAAATTTGTTGTTATGCTCTAATTTAGCCTCGTACATTTTCTTACAAAGACCAATGCCATCTCGTCGTTCCATATCGAACACTTTCTTTATTTTTTAGTGCTACTACAAGAATGTTTTGGATTTATACGCTTCAATCTTCTATAAATTACTATATACTAGAACGAGAAATGTTTCGACAAATCCCGGAAAAAGTACAAATAGTGCTAACATAAAAAGATGTATGTAACTAAGAAGTCAATGTACCTGATAAATCTCGACGTTAGGGAATTTAGCCTTGAATCGCTCGGAAACCTCTTTTCCTAGCGGAGCTCCGCCGCAGCCGAGTATCTGCAGCGAGCTCAGGTCGTACTTGTCCACCAAGTCCGACTTGGCCAACGCCACCACGAGTGGCGGCGCCACCGGAATGTACGTCACTCTGTGCCTCTCCACCGCCTCCAGCATTTTCACAAAATCGAATTTCTCCATCAGCACTACGGTTTCGCCCATAGCCGCCGCCTTGATCAGCATGAAGAAGCCGAAGACGTGAAACAACGGCAGCGTGAAAAGGGACACCGGGTGGATATAAACCTCCTCCTCCGCCGCCGCTTTCCCGCCGTCGCCGGAAAATTTGTGGTGGTAGAAACCCCCAATCACGGCCACCAGGTTGCGGTGGGTTAGGACAACGCCCTTCACTTTCCCCGTGGTGCCGGAGGAATAGAGGATCGCGACCGAATCCGACTGGTCCACGGCGGCGCTGTGTGGGTTGCCGCCGCCGCCGCCGCCGCCGCCGCTCGAAGCAAGTGTTGGCTCGAGCATGGAGAGGAACTCGGGGGAGTCGAGGAGGACGACGGGGAGATTTGGCGGGAGTTTGTGGGCGAGGGCGGAGGTGGAGAAGGCGACGGCGGGTTTGCTGAGTTGGATTTGGTGGGCCAACTCGGTCGGAGAAGAGAGCGGGTTCGACGGAGAGACGGCGGCGCCGAGGGAGAGGAGGGAGAAGTAGAGGATCGGGATATGGAGGGAAGGCGGAGAGAGGACGAATGCGACGTCGTTTTTGGAGAGAAGGGATTTGAGGGAGGACGATAGGGAATTCACCTTGTGGAGGAAAGCGGAGTAGGTGAGGCGGTCTCCGGTGGCGGCGTCGATGAGGAAGGCGGTGGTGGAGAGGGCGGCGGAGGTGGGGGTGGTGGGGGAGTGGAGTAGGGAAAGAGTGTATGAAAAAATGGAGAAGGGCTGAGAGGGGGGCGGGAGAGGGAGGGGCGGGCGGAGGCTGTGGTAAATCTTGGTGTGTGAGCAGTAGCCATTGTTGGGGTCGATGGTGGTGTTTTGTGGTGGTGGTGATTGAATTTCCGCCATGGGATGGGAGTGAAACTTCTCTTTCTCTCTCTCTCTCTCCGTCTGTGCTCAGCAGCATTTATAATTGTATTGTATTGTATTGTATCGCCCACCTAAATTATGTATCTATTCATTAATATTTCTTTACGGGAAAATTACGGTTGCCCCTGAGTTATGGTCAAATTACGAAAAGACCCCATCTTGTTTGGATAATTACGGTCACCCTCTTTAGATTGGTATTTTGGTATGATAAATTGATAATACATGGTTGAGACGGTGGTTGTAATTATCCAAACATAAACGGCGTTTTCGCAATTTGACCATAACTCCAGGGATGCCGTAATTTGCCCATATTTCTTTATTTGTTAAAGTATTTACTAGTATTTAAATTTGGGAAAAAATAGCTGGAGGTCCCTCAAAATATTCTTTATAGTTTTAAGGACACGTGCATTTTTGTAATTATATTAAAAGTTCATGTGTGCTCCCCTTTAACGGAATCGCTTAGGAAAACTAACAGTAACAGTGACACGGTAATTGCACAGCTTAATTATATTAATAAGAAGCAGCTTAGTTAAAATACAATAAAGAAACAACTAAAACAAGAATAGATGTTTCTCACAACATAAACAACTTATACAGATAACTTAATTACACAGTTTAGACAACTTATTCGCATAGTTTAGTTACACAACTCAGTTAAATAAGCTGAAGAAAAAAATTTAAATCTCTAGTGCGTACATTACCATCACCATCGACATTCACGTCATTAAATAATTCTTAATATTTTTTCAGTTTCGTTTCCGTAATTATTAAGTTACAACGAAGATGAACAAGTGTAACTAACATCGTATGAATACGTATTTTAGGTGTGTGATAATGTGTGTGTGACATACTTTTTCACGATGACAGCGGCGGTGAATAGGGCTGAAATCTGAATAGTATAGAACTTTTAACAAATTTAGCTTTAGCCCCTTAAATTTGAGGGTTGATGAAATTTAATGTATTTGTTGATTGCAATTGTTTATAGGGAAGGCTGGTGGGGGGCTTAGCGGCGGCCGCGGTGGTGTTACGGAAATGGTAGTACAAGCTTTAAATGGTAGTTGACCCAAAATAAATAAAAATAAAAATTATATTAAAATTAAAAAAAGAATATATATATATATATATATATATATATATATATATATATATATATATATATATATATATATATATATATATATATATATATATATATATATATATATATATATATATATATATATATATATATATATATATATATATATATATATATATATATATATATATATATATATATATATATATATATATATAACTCGACCCGTAAACTTTTTAATTGAATTACTATAATACCTAGATGATGACTCTGACTGCTGTTTTGAGAACAAATGCAATCCAGTGATGGCATCATCCTCGTCACCATGATTCGGAATTTGAGCACGAAGATCCCCGTTAATGGCACTAATAACCTCAATCTGTGCGAAACCAAAATGCAGAATACTCAGCACGCAACACAAAACAATCGCATACAGATTTAGTCTTCGATAAGTATAAGAAAATGACTTACCGAACCACATTTCCTTGCAACACTAACAAGCTGCAACGCAACGTTCACGGATTTCCATGCAATACAAGTAAAAAAACGTCAAATCACAGTACGAGAAAATAC